AAAAAGGAGGAGTGTGTATGAAAAACAAATTATCCACCTTAAATGCTAGGAAAAAAGATTGTACTGTTGTTGAGTGCTGTTCTTCCAGTTGTTAGAAATATTCAGATTCGTTTTCCTGCCTTTCGCAATGATAATCTTCATTAAAGACCACCCCGCATCACACTATTTATTTGCTGCTTCCTTAGGAAATAGTGATTGGAATAGTTACTGTATTACATCACTAGGAAGAGAAAAAATTCAAAACAAGTTACTTCATGCTCAGTAGAACTAATAAAACCTGGCTATCTAAGCACATCTTCTGTTCTCCTCGTGCTCGCTCCCACTGTAATATATAATTTCCCCACTGTCCTGGGTAACCTTCCCTATTTCCACCACAATGTACTTAATTCCCATCGCCCATGCACTGCTGTATCCCCAGGTTTGCTCTGCCCTTGCATGTGCAGCTTCTCCCTTGGTTTTCCCTCCATCTTTCAATATCCACAGTTAATCACATTACCGACCTTGCTGTCCTGTGGAAAGGAAAGGCAATAGCTTGGGCACTAGGTGCTTGCAGATTAGCCATCCAGGTGCTGCCGAGGTGTGAACCTGCTGCCTTGGGACACCGATAGCTGGATAGAGAGGTGTTATCATGGCTTGAAGCCAGCACCAGTGATGAGAGAGATTAAGAAAGTAGAGCAAAAAGGACCAGACATCTGGGTGCAGGAAAACAATACTTGAGGAAAACATGTTCACACTGATACTACATCACTCCGGTAATACAATAACAAATTCCATATAAACGGAGAACTGGGCCACAGAAAATTTTTTGAAGACAATACGGTGTTTATTTTATAAAGCAAATAATTGTCTTCTGTCCTACAAGATTGTGTCTTACCTTGGTGTTTATAAACATGTCTGGCATGCGCTTCACATTCTGCCTGATAGCACCTAATTTATGGGCCTCAGTAATTTCGGTTCTAGGTGCTTATCACTGCGGATTACACAAAGGGGAGATAAGAGAAACCGACTTTTTGTTGTTAAGAGAGTGGTGTGGGTGCACCTGATGCCCAGAAATTGGGATTAATTGTTGTCCAGCAGCACCTAGGGAACATACTTAATTGTCTTGAGCGGGAGCCTGGTTTTAGTTTTCCACTTTACAGAGATATCCCTTGGGACATGAACAGTGCCAGTTTGTAACATCCTGTCCGGATTTATGGGTCTACAGAAATACTTGGAAATTTTCTTCTGGAGCTCGAGTGGTTTTTAAGATTGGTTGAATCTGTTATATTTTTTGCTCTCTACTTCTCCTTTCAGAGAATAGTATGCATATCAGCCCTTTGCATATGACAGTAGGCATAAAACGAAATTACGAAGCTCTGTGTAAAAAAAAAAAAAAGGCAGTGTCTTTCAGGGTAAGCAGAATGTGCATATGCTGGTATGAGACCAACAATATGTAGTATTTGATGAAAAACAGCACAGTATAGATTGTTGAAATCAAACAATTCCTAACTTACTGAGCTTTCTACCTCATTTCTCTATGCCCTTGTTGCAGAATCAATGCAAGGACCACAGGCAATAAAATAAAACTTCAGGAAATTTGAGTATGATACTGATTATATGTAATTTTTGCCTTTCAAAGTCCTTACCGGAAGCAAAGAAAAGATTGCATGTACATTGTTCAGTGTCTGGACTGCACACTGCAAGGATAAAACCCCAGTTTTTTACTCTTTCTGTGTTCTTGGTTTCTTAGTCCTGTACTTTCATACCTACTAATATTTTACAAGTACTTTGATTCAGCTGTTAACTCTGTCATGTCAGCAACGAGAATACTTGTAGTGATAAAAATAGTAATCCAACAGGTTTCACCTCTTCCAAAAGGATCAGATGACAGCCTAGCAGAAATAGGACGACTGTTTGAACATTTATGATCATTGTGCAGGCTTTACCTCTGTCTTCCTAACACATTATTTGTATTATTAAAAATTACATAAGCTGTAGTTAAATATGTTTTAGACAAATGATATCTACAGCTTTAAAACAGTTAGAAAGGAACACTTGACAGATTCTGGTATAGCTGTAGCTGTGTAGGAATAGTTTCAAAATATTTTCTGTAGAGCTACTGTATTGGTTGTCTTGTACTATCCCAGCTTATAGATAATGCCTGTTGTCCCTTCGTGTTGTTGTCAAGGTTCATTAAGATTTTTTGAAATAACATGGCATCATTTCATCCTATTCCTTCCTATGTATAAGTCTCTGATCATTGGCTTTTTCAAATAAACACCGACATGAAATGAATCCAGAACCTCAGGGCAGTAATTGTCTTCCTTTCTGTTTCAGAAAGTAAAAAATGCACTAATGTTTTTCCTGATAATACATAGAGGCTGTGTCATACAAACATACAAGCAGCTTTGCAAAGGAAAAGAACTGGTATGTGGGCATCAATCCTTTAAATTAAAATTAAATTGAATTTCATCAAGAAAGTTTAAATTCCCACTCTCTATATTATCAAGTGGCAAAGAAATTGCGAGTTTGAGGTCTTGTTGCATTTTTCCATTGTACTGGCATTCAAGTAGTACCTCATGTCATCTAAATTGGAGTTGGAGACCTGGCCCGAGCACAGGACACAGCATGGAGGTGTTCCTAACAGCATCAAGGTTGGGTTCTACTCTGGAGTTAGAGAGACTTGGCTTATATAAAGAACACATAGTTTTCACCAAGTTAAATTAGTATTCCAGATAATTTTAAATACGCTAAAATTATTTATTAAATGCTTTCATCCAGAATTATTGGTAGTGCAGTAACAGGACACTACTTTTATAAAAGTTTGATGTAATGCAGGCTAAATTCTTTCATCTAAGAAAACTGTAAATAAGTTGGCTCTAAGAATTCAGGATATAATTAAAATTACTAGCAGTGTTCAAGTAACTAGAAGCAATAGCAAAGACGAAGGTCAATCAAAGGTAACTGGCCCAATCATCTTTTTTTTTTTTTTCCTTTAGCATATTTTCATACTGTTCTAAGTTAGGAGTCACTAACAAGAGATGGGTCAGATCACCATCAAAGGCTTCCACTCCGAGTGACTTAACCTCAGCCATTAAGGGTCAGTAGGTCTGACTGGTTTGCTCGCTAGTCCTCAGAAAGTGAGGCACAGCAGCACTGCTAGCTCAGGTGAGGCAGCACAGGTGAAGCCCTTGACAGTTCAGGGATGCTGCGATGGGAGAGGTGTTTGCTGGAAACACCTCAGTTACCAGGCCATGCAGAGGTTATCTTGGCCATACAGTTCCTGACTCCAGATACAGGTTTACGCTCCCTCTCATCAGATCCATTTATATCTGTGTTCCCCAGGAACATGACTTCCTCACATGAAACCATGTCAGCTCTTCATTTGGTGACACTGTTCTTCAGTGGTGGAGAAACCAAGAAGGAGATACAGAGCTTTGGGGACTAGGATTGTCATTGTCTTCTGTTTCAGAAATCTTTGTTTTAGAAACATCAGTGAAAGAAATACATATTAACAGCATCCAAGGTTTTACATTCATGAGACTTGTGTGTACTGGAGATATCAGAGGTACTGTTCAAGATTTTTTGTCACTCTTATCGCTGTCTTTACCATGGAGAAAAGCCTCTGGGTGTGAGAAATTAGGGTTTTTTTCAAGTATAGTTGTGATCCTCCCATGAGAGATGAATACCAACGGTGTCAGTTGTGACACATTTCTATTGCAGTGATCATCAAGTACTGGAAATCACTCAACTATTTGATGTCAGCCACAGGCTGAAGTTAGAGGCGTTAAATAACTTGTGCTGCACCTGAACTGCTGAACTTGGAGCTGACTCCTTGAGTTATCCAGCTGCTTGGACTAAACTTTTAAAGTTAAAAGATTAAGGTTCTGTAGTTTTGCCTTTTGTTAGTGTCCTCTAAAAAAATACTCATATTTCCCTACCACTCTTCTGATCTCCCCCCATATTCACGTCTGAAATTCACCAAAATCCAAGCTGAGCAGGGCCTTTCTCGCACAGCCTGCATGCAAAGGGAGGTAACTGCCTGCTTAAAGCTGCAGCCACTCCTCTCTTTGCCATCTGTCTCCTTCAGATGCTTTTGTTCTCATCTGCATTAAAACATGGTTTGAATTACTGTAGAACAAATAATTGCTGATGACGAGTAGCATCTTGGACCTGCGTGTCATGCTCCCTGGTTTAAGCTAACGGACCTTCATTTTTATTTTAGGATTTGTCTAGAATTCCACAAAGGATCAGTGGCACAGCTAAGCAGATGAAGGATTACTTAATTAATAGTAACTCTTTAACTTCTGTCCACGATTTGTTTGAATTACTCTACCTCTAACTCTATTAAACTGAAGCTGAAAATGAGTCTTCCAAAATAAGTCTCCATACAAACAACTTTTCTGAAATAATGTCTTTTGATTGGGTTTTGTTGTTTTGTTGTGTGCATTTTTCTGTAGTGTTTTGGGTTGTTGTTTTTTCTTACATAAATAAACCCACACTACACATTCGGTACTTTGTAATGCAAAATCCCAAACTCCTTACAGGTACGTTCAAAAAGCCGAGGTACCGTGTCCTGACACTTTTCCTCTCAGTCACAGACACTGAACCATGTTGCAGACGACTGCTGTAGAGGGAACACCAGTGGCAGGTTTCACCAGACACGTGCTGTCCTCCATGATGCGCACTGTGGGGTAGGATGATAGAATTGGGGAAGTGTTTCAGTGCCGTCTGTGGCTACCTGTCTGATACAAGCAAAAGGTTGATGAGATTGGCTCCTTAGGCACATAAAGAAGTTCCAAGCTGAGACATAGGAGACAAAACCCAAACTTGTACCAGGAGCTAAAACAAAAAGGGATGGACTAACATCAGTGGGCAGCCTGTGCTTTGAGTCAGTAAAAAAAACCTTATAATTTTGTGTTGCTAATATGATCTTAGCTTTCCTGTTTGAGAGATGTTTTTCGCTTCCCCATAGCATGTAAATACATGCTTATTAATCTTAATATTTTCTTATGTTTCAGCATCCCCATATAACAACAGCAGCATACCATGGGTCAGAAGTTTTGTACTCTCCTTTATAAGTCACCAGGATGACCTCATACCTACCGAAGAAGATACTGAAAATTACTTGGAAGCTGGATCAGGAGCCACCAACCAGACTGGATTGTTCTTGCATGAACAAAGAACAGTGTCAGTGCAAACAGCAAGATACCTCACTAGTCCATGGCTGACACGTTTTGTTCCTTCGGTTTACACCTTAGTGCTTGTGCTGAGTCTCTTTCTCAACATTACAGCAATACTCGTGTTTCTGAAAAAAATGAAAATTGAAAAGCCAGCTGTAGTATACATGTTGAATTTGGCCTTTGCAGATGTCCTGTTTGTAAGCGTGCTTCCTTTTAAGATTGTTTATCACTTTTCTGGAAACAACTGGGTTTTTGGACCTCACATGTGCCGTTTCGTCACTGCTGCCTTCTACTGTAACATGTACTGTTCAATAATGCTGATGACAAGCATAAGCTTCGATCGCTTCTTAGCAGTGGTGTATCCCATGCAGTCTCTTGGGTGGCGTACATTAACACGTGCCTCACTGATTTGTTTCATCATATGGCTTGTAGCAATAACTGGGGTTATACCTTTCCTCATCAGAGAGCAAACGATGGAAATACCCAAGTTAAATATAACTACTTGCCACGATGTGCTACCGGAATCTGAACTTCATGGCTATTACCTCCACTTCTTCACCATCTTCTCCTCTGTGTTTTTTATAGTGCCATTTATAATTTCTACCATCTGTTATGTGTGTATCATTCGATGTCTTAGTTCTTCTACCATTGTTGCAAAACAAAATAAGAAGACGCGTGCCTTGCTCTTGTGTGTGGCTGTTTTTTCTGTTTTCGTTATTTGCTTTGGACCAACAAATGTCCTCTTATTAATTCATTATATCCATTTTTCTTACGACAACAGCTTGGAGTATCTCTACTTTGCCTATCTGCTCTGTGTTTGTATCAGCAGCATTAGCTGTTGCATTGACCCCTTTATTTACTACTATGCTTCTTCACAGTATCAGAGACAAGTTTTCAGTCTCTTCAATTGTAAAAAGACTTTTGATCCTAACAGTAGTAACAGCAGTGGCCAGTCAATGTCTACCACCAGTAGACGGGCTACGTACTCTACTGATGTGAATAACAGTGTCTGCAGGAAGTTACTAGCAGTCCATTAAAATAACATCTTACATGCTTAATTTTTAGACAATTTCAGATAAAAAAAAATCACCAACACTATATTGTATCCAAAAAATGCAAAACCTTAAACCAAGTTGTACCATAGTTCTATGGATTCATTATATAATGCACAATTCAAATTATAACTCAGTATGTGTATGTATATATATATAGTGTATGTAAATAGGTTAATGTAGGGTGGAAAAGTGATTTCTTAATAATAGTTGTTGAGTGTTTTTCAAATAAACTCAATTTTTTTCAGACAAATCCTTTGCATTGTTAGTTCAATTTATTGCAGGGGTTTTATGAAATCCCATTTTAGGATTTAGAACTCTATCAGGTTGACTAAATTCTTACTTACAGAACCACTTCATCTATTGAGTACTCCCTGAAGAAAGTGAAAATATCTTTCCAGGCTTTGCACCCCCCACCCCCCACGCCCCCTTTGTTATTATTTCTGGAATTATCTTTATACTTCATTTTTTTAGCATTAGTTTGCATCTTGGACACTGAAACTATTTATCACTATGAGTGATAAGAAAGTGATAAGCAACCTAATCTTTCCACAGAGTGTGACAGTGAGAAACTTCTTACTAACGACGATCTCTCAATTGTTGTGTCTGTTCCTTAATGGACTTAAGCATGATTGAGTATTACCATGGTGTGTCTAGATTTTTTTTCATAAGTATTTGCCACATTCTAAGTACGTAAGTGCTAAAAATATATGTATATGTCATTTGTAAGGCTAAAACCCCACAAATGTTTGAGAGATACTCAGTTACATTCTCACTGTATTAGAGGTAGGTTTGGTTTTCAGCAAAAACCAAATGTATCTTAAAACTACCAAAATCCATTTCTTGCTGGCAGGAAAAATTACCTCCGTGCTTCCTGTAGTTACAGGCTGGGCGACTGCTTTTTAAATCTGTTACATAGTTGGGATTTGTTTCAATGTCCTGATAACTTGTTTCACGATAGTGCTTTATTTTTAGGTAGCCAAAAGAGACCATCTAGCCTGCTATTACGTGCTAGGAGGGAAGGAAATTTACATAGAAAACAGCTCAGCAACCATAGTGATGATTGACTTTGTTTAGCTCTGTGGTGGACTGGTTTTACTCGTAGCCTCTGTGTGCTGGAGAACATTTGTAAATGAGCAACTTACTCCTACTTTTTAGGGTGAAAAAATGAGAGGGTGGAACACAGCTCCCCATGGGCTAAGTGCATCAACAAAGATCCTGAATAAGAACAACTAAAACCAATTTTATGCATGCTTGTAAACCAGCGTCCTAGCTGCCACACATGCTGCTGAAGTTTGCTGATGGTTCTGGCTTGAATGCAAATGGCAAAAAAAAGGAAGAAAGAAAACCAGGAAGGGCGGTTGGTTACACCACAGAACACTTAAATAAAAAGGACTCACAAACCTAAGTAGACTTCCTGACTCCTTGATAAGTACCTGAAGTGCTGAAGTTGCCTTTAGAAACTATTTTGATGTGGCCAAGCGCATGTTTGAAAATACAGCACTTGACGGGCTTGAGGAGTGGTCCATACAAACCTCATGAACTTGTTCACCAACGCCACGTGCAAGGTCCTGCACCTGAACTGGGGCAACCCCTGGTATCAATAGAGGCTGGGGAATGAAGGGATCGAGAGCCGCCCTGCCACGAAGGACTTGGGGGGGGGTGAAAAGCTTGACCATTTTTGAGCCAGCAGTGTGCGCTGGCAGCCCAGAAAGCCAACCGTATCCTGGGCTGTATCCAGAGAAGTGTGGCCAGCAGGTCAAGGGAAGTGAATCTCTCCTCTACTCTGCTCTCGTGAGAGAGCACTCTGGTGGAGTACTCCACTGAGGGTACTGCATCCATCTCTGGGGCCCTCAGTACAGGAAAGACATGGACCTGTTGGAGCAGGTCCAGAGGAGGGCCACAAAAATTGTCAGAGGGATGGATCACATCTCCAGTGAGGACAGGATGAGAGTTGGGATTGTTCAGCCTGGAGAAGAGAAGGGTCTGGGAAGACCTTACTGTAGCCTTCTAGTACTTAAAGGGGCTTATAGAAAGATGGATGGAGACATCTTACCAGGGTCTGCAGTGACAGGACAGGGGCTAATGACTTTGAACTGAAAGAGGGTAGGCGTAGGTCAGATATGAGGAATTTTTTTTTTTAGGCTGAGGCTGTTTGAGGCACTGGAACAGGTTGCCCAGAGAAGCTGTGGATGCCCCATCCCTGGAAGTGTTCAAGGCCAGGCTGGACGAGGCTTTGAGCAACCTGGTCTAGTGGAAGGTGTCCCTGCCCATGGCAGGGGGGGTGGACTATAGCACCTTTAAAGGTCCCTTCCAACTCAAACTATTCAAGGATACATGCATAGGCATCCTACTCATATTGATGTTCTGTGACTGCTTCTAGCAAGCTCTCACCAGCCTGAAAATGCATATTTCTGCTACACATAGAGAGGTGATTCACAAGTCAATTGTCACACAACATAATACTTGCTAAAACAGACACCAAATATCAACTTTTCATAGGAAATGAAGCATTAACAGCTACTCTTTCTTTTAAGCTCCCACAGCTAGTGTTACACTTCTGCTTTCCAGTTGTATTTTGCTGAGGCTTCAGCCTGATTCAACTGCATAAATAAGCAAAAACTGCTACGTGGCTGAAGGAGTCTCATACCAAGGCAATGGCAGCTAGACTCTTCCTTAACATAGCATTTCTGTGCAACTGATTAACTGGAATGTGCTACAGCTCTCACTGTCTGCTTTTGATGCTGTATTTGATGGCAAGAAGAAGGACAAAACCTGCTCAAGCAGCAGAAGATTATGGGACCAACCTCAAAGACAAACAGCATTTGCAAAGCAGGTTGTAACAGCTGAGCATTGCCATGCAGTAAAGCACAATGTGGTAGCCTTTTGAGGAAACTGAACCAGAAGAGTACTTTAATTTAGACTGGCGTGCTTAAGCTAACAGGAAAAGCTAACCATCTCTTCATGCTTGGTGCACCTTTGCATTGCTTGCTGTAAAAGAAAATGAACTGCTTGTTTCAGGGGGAAGGAATGAAAATCTGACCCAAAGAAGTGAAACCCATTGATGTTACATGCTGTTTCACCCCTACCTTCTCCTCTTCGTGTTTTTTTGTTGGGTTTTTGTTTGTTTGGTTGGTTTGGTTTTGGTTTTGGGGTTTTTTTTTATAATGTTGAAGTTAAACTGCATCATTTTGTGCATGAAGCAAGCTAACGAACTTGTGCCAAATAACATTGGGAGATAAGGAGGTGTCAGGCACTAATCATATGTGGAAAAGCTGGCTAATGTTTCAGATATGCCAGCTTCATGTTGTGGCAATATTGGCAGGGACAAGATTCATAGCCAGTGTGGTTTCTGCAAGCAAAACAAGTCATATATGGGCTGTCATCGATACGTTTTTCACAGGGGAGGGTTTGCTTAAATTAGCATGACAAGGATTTTGCAGGGATTGGTGCGTTCACACTAGAAGCATTTTATCAGCTATTGCCAAGCATGCATCTGGTTTACAACCTGCTCCCTGCAGTTCGACTGCAGAGAGAGCATGGTCTGCAGGCTCTTTGCTCTCTTACCCTATCTGTTGAATCCTAGCCAGAAATGTGAGCGTGGCTGCGAAGTGTGTTCACAACATTTTCCATCAAGTCCACGGGATCAAGCTACTGGATCTCTTCCTGCTTGAGATGGCATCCAGAAACTGAAAGAGAGTAGGAGCTGGCTGGTGGACTACCAGCTATGGCTTTGCACCAGAGCTCTCCAAGAGCTGGGGAAAGAAAGGGGAAGGCCTCATGTGCCAAGTACAATATATATAAGTAAACTCCTGGGTAAGGCCTTTTTCTTATTCATCACATTAATCTTTTTTGATCTATCATAGTTTGATCTTGCAAAATGCTGAGCAAATTAAAACCTTAATGAGACCTTTCACATGTTTAAAATTAATGATCCACATAAGTGCTTTTTCGTGGCATTTTTCAAGTGCTATAGAACTGGTTTAGTGACAGCTGATAGAGCTGGAGAAGCTGAACAAATAACATGCTATAATCCAAGTCAACACTAGAGAGCATTAAAATAACTAGGTATGGCTGTTGTAATTGGGCTTGTTGGGGAGGAGCCCATTAGGAAACAGATCTGAATCACACTGACCTGTGAAATACCGATTAGCACTCTAAACATAAACATGGGCTTGGAAAGGTGAAAAAGTACTGGAATTGTTTTGGAAAAGTGGGTGACTTTATTTTAAACAGAACATCTAAAAAGGTTCAGCAAAGTATTGGAGACTAATTTTTCTTATCTGTGTGCTAGCAGCCTTAAAATAGTGGTGCCTGTAGCACCACAAACCAGCCTCTCTCCTCAAAGCAAAGCCTGACATTTGAAACATGGTACTAAGCTCAAACACATTGCACACAGTGACATAACCCTATTAAGGTCAGAGCTGACAAAGTCGACCTACAATGGAAATCCGGCTTAATGTTCTCTCACCAAAATAAAAATTAATAATATCGATTCAAATTCATCTTCATTCCATAGTAAGCCTGGGAAAGTCACTATCCTTGCCTCTGTTTGATCTGGTTTGGGTTTTGTGTTTGGTTTTTTTTGGTGTTGGTACTGCACTCTTAGGTATGAGAGACAGCAATCCTTGGGACGTTCTCACATACGTTTTTTTCATCCTCATGGATGGGGCTTCCTGTACCCAGGCAGCAGTGAAAGTGATGCCGCTAGATCTGGGCACAGGGGTCTCCCAGTTCAGTCTCCCACACGGCTCACAGCCAGCTCACAGTGGCTTGACATGTTTTTCTCTTCAACTCAGCTAGAGATGGCAGGCAGGACACCGCATCTTCCCTCAGAAGTCTGTGCACAGAAAACGAAAGCAATTGAATAAAGCCAGATTATCTGGAAATATTTGATCACTCTTGCCTCCTTACAGTGTTGATTTGGTTTTGTTTTGGTTTTGGGTTTTTTTTTTCACATATATGTTTAAAAAAATCCATTTTTT